GGGAACCAGGGGAATGGCAGATGCGTTGCCGGCCTTTTAAAACGGAGTAGGATCTTTTCTTGAAGGTCCCTAAATCGTATTGGTCCGGAAAAATCGCTGATGGCAATCAATTCCACAAGGAAGTTGTGTAAGGAAGAAAACATCTTCTAAATCGCACAGTGGTGGACCGCCAATCATACAGATGGTGTGGATGGTATCGGGAGTTCTGCCACGATGTGCGTTCGTGTAATTTGGTGGTTGGGATTAATCCGAATAATTCCTCAGAGCACTGCCCGTGGTAAATGCGAAAGAAAACACAAAAAGAGATGCAACATCTCTTCGCAGTGCTAATGTATCGAGCCGATCAGAAAGGACTCGGTCGTCGACGTTTCGAGCCGCTGTGCGCTGGATGTGGTTAAGTGGAAGGAGCAGGCACTGGGGATCTCCTGCCCAGAGATGGGAACAGTATTCCATGTGAGGCCGAACCTGCGCCTTGTAAAGTTGCAGGCGGTGTGCCAGCATGAAATACTGCCCCGCTCTGCTGAGCACGCCAAGCTTTTTAGAGGCCAATATGGCCTTCTCTTCCAAGTGACCACGAAACTGCACGTCACTCGATATGTCGACGCCGAGGATTCCGATACTGGCTGAGGCAACAAGGGGAGTACCTTGAAACTGAGGAGATAAGACAAAGGGGTTCTTTTTATTGGTAAAGGCGCAAACTTGTGTCTTCTGAGGATTAAACTGGACTAGATTTAGTCGCCCCCAATTCGAGACTTTGTTCAGCAAAGACTCGACTTCAGACAAAAGTTTTTTCCGTTACTTGGCAACGTTTTCCCAAGAAATATTGGCACGGCCGGTGTATAGAGCATCACCAGTACTGTCATCCACATAGCAATCAATGTTACCAGTTTGCAACATATCATTGATATAAAATAAAATAAAAATAAAATAAACCTTTATTATTTTCTCCCACAAATTGTACAATTGCATATTTTATCTTTTAAAAACATATATATTTTTTATAAAAACAAAAACAAAGAGGTACATAAATTTGTGGGAGACGGGAGTCCACACTAGGATACCCTGTGCTATGGATCTCCCGGCTCCCCATTTAGAATGATCAACTAGATGTTTCTTTTTTTTTATTGTTATACGTATATAGCAGAGACTTTTTTCCGTTTGCGAGAGAGCATACGCGCAAGCAGTTAATCTTATTGTTTGTGTGTGTGTGTGTGTGTGTGTGTGTGTGTGTGAGTGAGTGTATGTGTGTATGTGTGGGTTAACTCGTACGTGGTATGTTAAGATGCAATCTGCAGTAATTGTTCTGTTTTTTCGTAATCAAGTTTAAGCAGCCAATTTGAAATTTTCTTTTTACATTCAAATTTAGTTAGGTTAATGATACGGTGTAATTTGTTTGCTTTGTTATATAATCGACTACCTCTAAAACTGAAAAACTTTTGAGCAAAAAATGTTTTTACCGGAATAATTTCACAGATTTCATAATCTCTCCTCGTACTAGAGTTCCTTATATTATCTAACAAATCAATACAACTATGTTTTTTTAAGATTATTGATAATATGTAAATTTTTCGAACCGTTAACACATTGGCTTCTGCGTATAAGTTCGTTGTCGGATACGTCCTAGGTTTTTTCAAAGCAATTTTTAAAATCATCCTTTGTACCTTTTCAACTTCCATCATTAATGTTTTACTAGAGCCTCCCCATACAGAAATGCCATAGGACAGGATAGATTTACCTAACGATTCATATACAGTTTTAATTAAATTCCAATTTGCGATATGTCTTAAGTTTTTAAATATGTAGATAAGCTTTCTAATTTTTTGAACTAAATAGTTTATATGTTCTTTGAAAGTTAGATTCTTGTCTATTATTATGCCGAGGTACTTTATGTTATTTGTATTTTCAATATCAGGACATTTACATTTTGAAATAGAGGTCATATTACATGAATGTGCTATGATTTTAAATTTATTTGTAATACAGGTTGAATTTCTGATGTAAAAATTTCATATTTGGTTTTATCGGTATTTAAAGTGAGACTATTTAGAGCAAGCCAGTGACACACTATATTGAAACCATCCTGTGCAATTTTGAAAACTTCTTCCCAAGAGTCACCGTAGAACGAGAGGGTTGTGTCGTCAGCATATGAGATTATTTTACAATTTGGGATGTTTAATTGACAAAGATCGTTTATGTAGCAAAGGAAGAGAGTTGGACCGAGAATACTTCCTTGTGGTACTCCGTAATTGATTGGTCTTTCATCACTAAAAATCTCTCCTATCCTAACTCGTTGTGAGCGATTTTGTAGGTAATCTCTAAAAAGTTGTAATTGTACATTTCTAATACCCATTTTTTCAAGTTTCTCGATCAGTTTAGAAGATGAAATAGTGTCAAAAGCTTTTTGCAGATCAATAAAGATTGTGATACATTTTTTATTGGAATCTAATTTTTGCACAACAAATTCTGTAAAAATATGTATAGCGTCCGTAGTTGATTTACTTCTTCGAAAACCGAATTGACCATTTGAGAGAATTTCATTATCTTCTAAATATTTTATAAGTCTAGTGTTTATTATTCTTTCAAGGAGCTTAGACATAGACGGGAGTAACGATATTGGACGATAGTTAGTGATGATGTCACGCTTTCCGTTTTTAAAAACTGGTATTGTGATGGACCTTTTTAAAACTCTTGGAAAAATACCTTCTTCTAGACACCTATTAAAGCTATGATTAAGTGGGGGGATTATAAATTCTTTAAGACATTTTAAAATTTTTGGCGTAATACCATCCCAGCCAGCACCACAATCAGTCTTGAGATTAAGAATGAGACGTTCGAGTTCTTCTACACTTGTTTTAAGTAGGACAAAAGACTTACTTTTGACTGTTACAGGATTTACAGTGGTAGGAAGAGGCGGAAGATCTATTTTAAGTTTATTTGAGAAGTTAGATCCTATATTTGCAAAAAAAGTGTTTATAAAGTTGACGGAACTAAGCGGGTTATTTTCAATCTTGAGAAGTTCAGCAGGTAGCTCTTTTGGTTTATTTAAGTTATTTATATTTTTAACAACATTCCAAATTTTTTTATTATCATTTCCAGCAGCTTTCAGTTCATTTCTTTCATAATGAATCTTTTGTTTTTTTAATATATCATTACAAAAGTTTCTGTATCGCTTATAAGTACATTTTAAAATTTCATTTAGAGGATCTTTATTTAATTTATAGTGCATTCTATCTCTGGTTCTTATACATCTTAATAAACCAACAGTTATCCAGGGTTTTGTTGTGATTTTGCTTCGGGGTATTCTAATTTTAATTGAATTATTAACAATTATTTTTTGTATGTGTTCAATAATAAAGAGTATAGATTCATTTGGATTAAGTTCATTATTATATATCTCATTAAAATTTAGGTTTTTACAATCTTCATATAGGTTATCGAAATTTAATTTATTAATGAAATTATTTTTATTGTTAGTATTTTGTTTTATGGATTTAATACAGAAAAGAACCGGTTCGTGGTCAGTAATGGAAGTTAATAAAATAAAAGTATATGTGGGATATTTCGTCTTTAGAATTACATGGTCAAGGCAACTATTACCCCTAGTGGGATGATAATATGCCGGTATCATTCCATAGAAAGCCAGAACTTCTAGGTAATTGGATGACAGCGAATTAAGTTCAGCAATTTTAATATTTAAATCTCCCATCAAGAAAGTATTTTTAAAAGAAGATAGTTCAGTTAAAGTGTTTTGTAACGATAGAAGGAATTTATCCAGCGATAGGTAGCTAGGGGATCTATATATAGCAATTATAGCTGTCTCGTTATTAATTTTTATTAATAGGGAGTTCGCTTCAGATATATTAGGTTCCTCTACTTCAAATTTTAATTCTTTCTTTATCATAACGACAACACCTTCGTTTTAATTATTGTTCATCATAGTTTTAAAGGAGATGTATCCTGGGATAACCGGAAGGTTAATGACACAAGATAGCCAACATTCCGAAAGGATTAAAATATCACAGTCAAATTTCATCCTATGTAGTAACACGATTAAGCTGTTAAAGTTTTTGTTTAAGCTTCGTATGTTTAACTGTAATATTTTTAAGTATAAGGATGGATGCAATACAAAATTTATACATGATTCAGGTTCGCAGATTTGAAGATCTGTTTGTTGGAAGTTGTCTAAATTATTTAAGTTATTTACGTCAGCGAAATTATAATAATAAGTAAATAATTTTGTTTTTCCGATAAAAACATTTCAATTTGCAGTACTATTGAGCTTATTTTACTTAACTGGGTAACGCCATTTTGTAAGATATTTAAAAAATGTTTGTGTGAAAAGTGTGAATGTGTTGGAATTGTGAAAAATAATGTAATGTGTAGATATATACTAACAGGTACTGTACATTGTATTAGGTTATACACATGAGAAATTATATACATCGGTCTAGCATTTAAATAAGAATAGTATATCGAATAAGGTAACCACAAGCATATACATTGTATAATATTGCTTACAATTAAAAAAGTACTCCTAAATACTTGTAGGCCGTAAGTGTAACGTGTAAGTAAATCCAAATGTGATTGAAAGATATTATATAGAAGCATGTCAACTTCTCCAAAATACAAATATTCGTAGAATTGAAGAACCGCTATACTTGTAAAGTTGCATAAGGAAAAATAGCAGACATTTATGTTAATTCTCGTACTAATCATAGCAAAACATATTATAGAGTAACGCTGAACGTAATTCACAGCAAGCATTTTATCGTGAAACAAGACAAAACCTACTTTAAACATAATCTCACACAAGAGTTTACATTTATAGAAGGTGAAATAAAATATTAACAACTTTACATAGTATTTTATAGTAAGGACAGAAAGTACAGCAATTAAGAATACAAATGTTACAACGACTGAGCCAAAAAATAACCTAAGTGTACCATTACTATGTAAAAGAATAAGATAAAAACAAAATTTAAACAAATTAAACATCAAATTTAAGCAATACAAAAAACCTTTACGATATCACTCTCCGTATGAATTCGCTGTTTGCTCGACATCGTATCACGCCTTACAAATATATTGCCGTTTTTTGTCCAGACATAACGCCAGTGGTTTCGCTGCGCTTCTTGTCTAACCTTATAGAAAAGTTGCTTGTTAGTGTACGTCAGACGTTCGTTTAAATAAAAACGCACTGTATGAGCGTTAATGTTGAACCCAGACGTATCGGCTCCTCGTCGCACGCGAGCGGCACGCAACAGTTGGTCGCGAATAGCACGCCGCGCTAAGCGAATGATGATAGGTCTCGGACGCGGCGGTTCAGTGGCTGTACTCACGCGATCACGACGCATACCAGATCTCTCTACACTAACCACATCACGTTCATCCAGTTCAATGCCAAATTTTTGGGCGACGAGAGAAAATAGATGCATCGGGTTTTCTCCATTTTGTTCAGGCACGCCCGTGAGCTCCAGGTCATTTAAAAGAGCAGCTTGATCTTTGTAATTTAGGTCACGCTTTAATTGAGCCACAGTTTCAACCAACTCACTTGCAGGTGCAACCTTTTTTTCATCCTTCGCTTGAAGTTCTAAGCAGGTCACGCGGTTTTCAACGCTGTCTAATCTTGAGTTAAACTCCGACATAGTGGCATTCAGTTTCCCAACTTCCTGGCGAAAATTAACCATTTCTCTCGAAAGGGTTTGCAATTCTGTTCGTAAAAGCCTAATTTCCTGCGCTAATGATCCTTCATTAGAACCCTCCACCCTTGCATCCATAAATGTTTCAGATATCACCTCTGTTTCCGCATGTGCTGGACTTTGCCGCGGCGTCAAATTGACTCCCGAACATGAGGCCTTAGGTTTACAGGTCATGCACATCCACTTTACACTAATTTTCGTGTCCGGGTTAACGTTTACACAATGGCGGTGGTATGCTGATGGACACTTTGAACATTTAACACAATCTGTTTGAGAAAGGAACTTCCCGCAGAGACCACATTTATTTGCCATGTTTAATTTAATTATCACAAAATGTTCCCGTATAGTAAACTTCGCCAAACTGCGCTAACTACACAATATGATATGATATGCAGAAGAAACAGCGTTGGTGATAGCAAATAGCCTTGTTGAACACCAGCGTTAATAGGCTTGTAGTCGGAGCATGCACCATCTACAACGACCTTGATGCTCCGATCTGCAAGGAAGCTGGTGATCCAATTGCACAATTTCTCGGGAAACGCATAGGAAGGGAGCTTCGAAAGAAGCGCTTTGTGCCGAACCCGATCAAAGGCCTTTGCAATGCCCAAACTAACGGCCAACGCCTCCCCCTTGGACTCTACTGCCTCCGCCCACCTATGAGTCAGTTAGACCAGAAGATCATCAGCTGATCGGTCCCAACGAAAACCGTATTGGTGGTCACTAATCAGCTGATGATCCTCAAGGTACCGCATGAGCTGGCAGTTAATAATGGATTCCATTATTTTGGAGAACAAGGAGGTGATGGCGCTAGGCCTGATTTTATTTATCACGTGTATTGGCAGTGTAAGAATGCAACAAATCAGGAGATGAGTAGCAGCGTCTTCCTAATAATGACTATAATAAAAATAAAAACTGCGGTCGCCACCCGCTTATCAAGGCCTGTGTTCAGCAGTGGACTTTAATACGCTGTCGCGGCAACTATTACGGAAATTTATTAAACATTTTAAAAATTCAGTAATTATTTGAGCTACGCAATTTAAAGATGACGTTAATTTTCGTCCAGGCTCACCACTTTCAGAAGGGTCAAAAATCACTTTAAGTCAAATCGAATGAGACACCACGAGACTTATCGACATCATAAAATTGAGTAGCGTTTTGTAATAAGTATATATCTTCTAAGAGAATTCACCGAATATTGAAGTTTCCTGCTTGACTGGCGTTTACAAACATATTTTGCCCATCATACACTGCTTTCTATCATTAGTCTATCTAGATTGGAAAATATGGGATAGATACTCTATCTCGTATTTTCCAGGTATTTATTCCGCCTTGTAGACAAGCAACTTTATACTGGCGTTCTTTCTACCCACCGATTTACTTTTAAGAAGAATAATAGATATGGTTATAACACAACTAATATCCCTGTTAAAATCTTCACCTAAGCTTTAAATGCTTGTGCTGTTTGTGCTCACGACAGTAGCGAACGGCGAATTGAAACCCAAGATATTTTAGCTTTGTAGCATCTATTCTACTACTGTCGTTTATTATAAAATCCTTTGAAAAGCCTTAAGTCTTAGCGATTGAATTTAGATATCAATATGTGGGCTAACAAAGCGAAATTCTTTTGAAGTGTCCTCAAGTTTAATTAGCTTCTGGGTTTGGATCAGTTTGATTTGCTATGAAACTTAAAAATCAATTTACTTGCACAGATTCAGAAAATAAATTTTATTAAATTTCTGATTAGGTCTGCCACTCGAGAACCTCTCTTTCCCATCGGTTGATCCACTATTAGGCTGGACTTACTCTTGTTCTCCTGTGGATATTCCTGTGGATATTCTCGAGATGTGGATTCCTGTGGATATTCTCGTTGCGGATTTTATGTTGCAAATTCTTATTCTTAGTCGCTTAAAGATGGCTATGTCTCATTTACCCTCGTATTTTTGGTATCTTCGTTGACACTTATGAGCGCAATTTGTGAACATAATGCATTTATATCTATTAAACAGATAATATTAAAAATCTATATTCAACAGATTGCAGAATCGAATATTAACCACGATTTTATTGACAATTTTGACCTTGTTTGACCTGTTTGGTAAACATAATTTTTGTTGGCTTTATTTTCAAATAATGATTTTCTTGTCGAATATCGAATATCGTATAGATAATTAATTAGTTAATAACTTTTCCTTTATAAATGAACGACATTATAATAAAATAGGGGAATTAATTGTTTCTGCGCAAGTGGTTAACTGAATTATTTATTTAAATTGTAAAGAACAAAGTATCGGAAAATCAAAAAGATCTTATTGCTTTATATTCAGATTAATTGCAGTAAAATCACTTCGTTTATGCCTGACTTAAAATACCCAATTGGCACAAATAATAGTTCCAAAGGTGCGACATGTCTGACAAAGTATTATTGCACACCTTCACTACAATCGATTAACTTATGTTCAGAATTTGAATTTTACGGTCTAATAAAGAAACAGAAATTATAAATTCTAGTGTTTGAAAAAAAAAATCAACATATTTTAAGGAAGATTAAACGGTATTATCACATTATTAAAGGGAAAAAATAATAATATTGTTTACAATAACGGCGTTAAGACTAAAACGTCGTTTTACTTGAAATTACATCGATAAATGAAACTACATCATTCCCCTGTATATCACTTACAACTTTGTTGGAATAATTTAAATAAAGCCACTTGATTGAATACGTGTACCAATTAATCTGTGATCCATGAACGGGCGAACAACAAAATGGCCGCAGTCATTGCCTATCCAAATGGAAGGTAATCGATTGCTCACGAATCATTGGAGCGGGTTTGTTCACTCTATTTAGTCAGTTGGATTTCAGGCATGAATTAGCGCTTCAAGCGATCATCTCATTACGTTGCTGCTGACGGTTTCACTGCTTACTGGGAAGGTATGTTGACATTCAAAATCAGATATCAATTCTATTAATACGTTTGGTTAGATGCGTCAGTTGAAATATTCATTCTGATATATCAGATTATTATATTATTCATATTGATAAATACCTGAAAGAGAAGTCTGGACATAATTAACTTCAAATTAAATGAAGTTAGCCCATTGTTAAACGTACATCATTTAACCTAATCATCAGGTTAATGCAACCATTTTCTGCTTCCTTACGGAGATAAATCACGATAAGTAAAGTATGCCTTTACTCGATAACGATATGTATTCTTATTTATTTATCTATTAATTTAGATAGATACACTATCGATAATATCGATATGTATTGTTACAAATAAAATACAAATTACTTTAGACAAAGGATTATTCTTACTTTTTTTACAGTCGACGTAGCAATTAGAATGTTGTCTAAATATATGTTCGTAAAACACCTGCACAACATTGAAGAAAATCGTAGTATTGTTGTAGCGATTTCTTTAAAGACTAGTTAAGCTTCTATCATTCACCTTCAACCAATACTCCAGGTTTTATTCAAAGATAACTTATGTTACTAGTTTGCAACATATCATTATTATGCAGGAGAAACAGCGTTGGTGATAGCACGCAGCCTTGTGGAACACCAGCGTTGATAGGCTTGAAATCAGAGTATGCACCGTCTACTACGACCTTTATGCTCCGATCAGCAAGGAAACTGGTGATCTATTTGCACAATTTCTCGGGAAGCCCATAGGAAGGTTCGAAAGAAGCGCTTTGTGCCAGACACGATTGAAGGTCTGCGCTGTATCCAAACTAACGGCCAATGCCTCCCCCTTGGACTCTACTGCCTCCGCCCATCTATGAGTCAGGTAGACCAGAAGATCACTAGCTGATCGACCACTCGACTTGCCGACGACCAAGGAGAAGAGTTCTTTGCGAACCGAGCGCTGTGTAAACCGCACATCCGAAATGGAGCATTCACACCCCGGGATGGTAGTAGCTGTGTTCCCCCCGTGATCTAGAGTCGAGTTGGACGCTAAGAGAGAGCCTAATAAAGATGGGCTTTCTCCTTTACGGATTGGGCCAGTGAGATGTCCTCTCTGTGCAGATCTCTGTAAGAAATTTTTTGTTACATCTGTAAGAGATAGCTGACAAAAGTTCCCTTGGACAGCCTTGGCAAGAGACCAGAATTCAGGTTCCCGAAGGAAGGCGAATTAGCTTCTCGTCAACTCTGCCGAAGTTCTCAGACCTTGCCTTGGCAACGACGCTTTTGAATGACCTGGAGGCGGAACTATACTTCTTTTTAAGCGCGCTGGTGTTTACATCTAGAGACGTTGATGCGTCAGCCTAGGCCCGGTAGCACTCGGAGGGGCATCGTCATCGTCCGTTAAACCAAGCATGGTTATTTTTTAATTTATTAGGCATGACAGAACGTGATATGATATCGCTAGGATTTTCCTGTCCCGGTATATGATACCATAAACTAGGCGGTAAAGTATCTTGGATGGCGGATGTTCGGTTTGCTAGAAACGTTTGCCAGAGGTGCGGAGACGAGCGAATCCACGATAAATCGATTGTTGAGTCAGTGAAAGCAAAAGTACGATTTATATGACATCTTGATTCAAAGTTAGCATTAACTGAGCGAACAAGCTGCAAGAGTAAATGAGCGGCACAGAGTTTTAAATGAGCAAGAGTTATTTTCTTAAGCGCAGCAATTCGAGAGCGAGAACAGAGTAACATTACTTTTTCAGAGAGTGAGCTCAACGGACCAATGCGTATAAATTTTACAGCACCATAACACTTTTCACTAGAATCTGAATATCCGAGTAAAGTTATGTATGAATTTTTACAAATACCAAAATACCTACGAATTTTTATTTGCGTTATATCGTTAAGTTCCTTTTTTATTTGGCCCCAAGCTCCAGCAATAACCGCGGGAACTATATCATCCTAATGCAGGCTGCGTTTCCAACATTCCTGTATAAGTAGTTTCATGCCAGGGGTAAGTGGAGAGAGTAGTCCAAGAGGGTCATACAAAGAAGCGGATTGAGAAAGAATTGAGCGTTTGGTAAACGGGTTGTTAGAAAGCATAGCAATTTTAAAAGTAAAATTATCATTAGTTTGATCCGATCGCATAGCTATTAATTTAGTTTTCGAAGCCGATGAATTAAAATCTATTTTTTGTTAAAAAGAGAATCTCCTGGAATTTTTCTAATATTTAAAATATCTTTTTGGGGTCGGTAAACAGCTCTGTGAGGAATGTAGTAGGAATGAGATAAATGCTGTTGCGTGTTTTTAATTTTAGTTAAAAATTCTTTATCTATACATATATTCCTGTATAGTTGTAGTCTGTAGCGTTATAGCCGTCGCGTAAAGCTACGTCAGAATCT